CCCCTTTAGTATCGGTTTGTGTTACCAACCGATACTAAAGGTCTAACCTATAGTACCGGTTCGTGCCACGAACTGGTACTAAAGGGGCCAATTTTCAAACTCTACCCCGCCCCCCGTGTATCGCCATTTCAGTTTTGAAAAAATCAAAATAAAATGATAAAAACTTCAAAAAATAAAATCCTTTGAGAAGTAGTTATATTACTATATCTACTAGTTAGGAAAATTTGAAAACTTAAATTTGGACATGTTTTGCAAAAAGTGTAGGGAAAATGTAAAACAGCTATAACTTTTGCATACGATGTCGGAAAAAAACGTATAATATATCAAAAAATTCAGCACAAAAATCCGCATCCGATGGAGAGAGCCTAAGACTTGTTTGGAATTTTTTAGAATCCTTAAATTCCAAAAGGAAAAAAAGATATGGTCAAATTTCAGTTTTTTAAAAAAAATTTGGTTAAATTTGGTCAAACTACTTATTCAAGAAGTATTAATGTTACTACATAATTATTCAAGAATATTAGTGTTACTAAATAATTATTTCAATTTTTTGAATTTTGGTCAAACTATGGTCAAACTATGGTCAAACTATGGTCAAACTTATTCAAGAAATATTAGCGTTACTAAATAATTACTGTTTTTTTAGAATAATAGTTTCAAACTCAAACGGTGAAATGTGTGACTTCATGCTCAAGCTAAACTCCTGAGGGTTAATAGGATTGACATCTTACTATTGTCAGGAAAACAACAAGTGCAGACTCGGAAACGAAGGAGAAAAGAACCTGAAAGTTAAGCGTGCTCGGGCAGGAGTAGATGATTTGGAATGAGTGATCCACACTTGAGCAGTTAAGAGAGGTGATTAGAGACTAAATCATCAAATAATTCAGAAAAATTAAAAATCGAAAAAAAATCAAATTTTTTTTCCAAAATTTTCAAAAAAAAAAAAAAAAAAACACCAACCGGTACTAAAGGTCCCCCATACTAGGGCGCGAGCTCACGCCACATGGTGGCACTTTAGTGCCGGTTCGTGCCGAACCGGTACTAAAGGGGGGGGGGCCTTTAGTGTCCACACTTTAGTGTCGGTTCCATAACCGGCACTAAAGGCCCTTACAAACCGGTTTTAAAGCTCCGTTTTCTACTAGTGTTATAAAACGAGCGTCATGGTGTCCACGATCGTAGACATTGTCTGACACGGTTTGTGTCTCCTGCGTCGGTGCTACTGGTGGAGTGTGAAACACTGTCTGAGAGAAGTCATAAGTGTTTGCAGCCTCGTCATCATCATCGGAGAGTGTTTCACACTTACGACTTCTCTCACAGAGTGTTTCACACTTCACATGAAGGCATCATCGTCATCCTTCGTTGATGCAACACTCCTTAGTGTGGCGGAAGAGAATAGCGGGAAAGAAAATGTCGGGGGGAAATGGCGGCAAAGAAAATGGCGGCAAAGAAAATGAAGGGAAAAATATTGCGGGAAAGTATTTTATTTTCATGTATAAAACGGCAATGGTTGTACAGGATTTACATGGCACTTTTAAGTATAAACTCCTATGAAACTCAAAACAAGTTTTCTAGTAGGATAAAAGAAATAAAATACAAAAAATACTAAAAATAAAATAGTTATTGATAAGTAAACAGAAACAAAAAGAATATGTCAAAAAAAAACTAAAGAAAAAAATATTAAAAGCAATTAAAATTAAAAGAAATAGCATAAAACCTATAAAACACTAAAACATAACTGTTTTCATAAAAAACTAATTTTAAATAATAATAAAATTCACCAATTAATTACTACTTATAAACAAATTCACAAAGAACAAGTAGCAAAAAGAATCATCTAGAAAAAATACTCCTAGCTCAAATTATAGGCAATCTAGTGATTTGAGCAAATTCGTGAAAATTCAAATTCAAACTTTCAAATCTAGTCAAACTTGATATCTACAGAAACTTCATAAAATTTCTAATCTAATGCAAAAAGAATCAAATTAAAATACTAAAAATCCTAATTGATATGAATTTTCTAAAACAGTAGAGCAGGTGTTGGCCGAAAAGTCCCTCTTCGGCCAATAGGAGGCCAACGGGGTGATACTTTTGATTTTTCTACATTATGGTGTATAGTTTTCGAATTTACTATAAAAATCATCATAGTTTCAAGAAAAATCGACAGTAAAGTTCACCGGTGGGCTGTTGCCTTCGGCAAGCCTAGCAAACACCGGCGAGCGTTGAAGCACGTTGATATCATTGTGTGATGCGGCCATGCCAAAGAAAGAGTGCCAGATCTAGAGATCTTGAGACGCCACGGCCTCAAGTATGACAGTGCAAGCCCTGACATGGCCCTTATACTGCCCTTGCCAAGTAGAAGGGTAGTTCTTCCACTCCCAATGCATGCAGTCTATACTACCAAGCATCCCTGGGAAGCCCCTGCTGTCATTCATCGCCAACAAACGGGCTGTATCTTCAGCAGTCGGCTCTCTCAAGTACTCAGGGCCAAACACAACAATAACAGCCTTGCAGAACTTAGGGCCTGTTCGACAGCTCTCCAACTCCAAAAAATCCACAAATCCAGCTTCGTTTTTGGATCGCCCGCTTCCGGCGCGAGCGCTAGCGCTCAGAAATTCGTTCGGCCCCTCGCTCCAGCTTCTCGTACGTGTTAGCAGGCCAACCTGGCTAGGTGGGCTGGAGCCCAGCCGGCTCAACAGGTAAGGTGGCCTTAGGCCCAGGCGAACACACGAGAACAGGGGAGATAGAAGTAGCGAACCGATACATGACCCCCTCGATTCACTTCGCGGTGGCAGCTGCTCGTAAATAAAGCCAACTCCAGATTCCCAATTTCTGAGATGGCCGAAATCGTCGCTCCGATTTTTTGTACGTGCGTGCCGCTCCGCTCCAGGAAGCCAGCTTCTTGGAGCTGGGCCGTTCGGGCTAGCTCCGCTCGCATATTTGCGGAAGCTGGGAGCCAGCGAGCTACCGAACATGCCCTTATACAGGGACTCTAGGCAAGTAGACTCGCTCATATGGACGTACTCGTCAATGAGATCACCGGGCACTCCGTATGCAAGCATTCGGATGGCGGCAGTGCATTTCTGATAAGAGGAAAACCCAATCTTGCCAACGGCATCCTCTTTGCACTCGAAATAGTCATCATAGCCGACCACCCCCTCTCTAATACGGTTGAAAACATGCCTACTCATACGGAAACGGCGGCAGTCTGATGTTTGAACAACGGGTCTGTTGTATCAAAGTAGTCCTTCCAAAGAAGGAAATGCCCGCTCTCTCGATTGCGATTCAACGCCGGAAGATGGCCCGGAATGGAGCCACGGAACAATGTCCGCAGGCTGTTGAGGTGGTGATGGACCAACACGGCAACCAATATCTCCTCCTCGTCATCAGAGGACGAATCATCGGAGTCGCAAAGGAAATTGTGAAAAAAGAACTCGTCGGCGGAGTCCATTTTTGTACCTTGGCAAACTGTCGAACAGCTTGCGGGCGTCGGCGAAGGAGACAACCGACGAAGGGGGTCGCGGCGCGCACGGACCAGCTGTTGTCCTGCCGGCGTCCGACGAGCGTGCCGGTGAGGATCTGGCCGGGTGGCGAGGCGACTTCTTGGTCGGGGGCGGTTGTGTGGTGGGGGGCGCGGGGGGTGGGAAGCAGTCGGCTCCCGACGGCAAGACGGCGCTGGCGGGCGACGTGGGAGTGGGCGGCGTAGCTGGGCGGATGTGGAGGCCCCGGCAGCTGGCAGAGTCGCCGGCAAAAATGAACGGCGGCATCGGCGACGGAGGAGAAGGGCGAGGGTTGATGTTGGATGGGAGAGGACAATGTGACACAGACCAGCGGGCCCGGGGGGGGAGAGGACGAGCGTGCGCGTGTCCGCGCCGACGCAAATCTGGCTCAAAAATGGACCGGGAATGGATCGCCCGCGGACGAAAAGCGGACGCGCGTTCGTTGGCTCGGCGTGTTGGGCCGCCTTTTCTGTCCGAGCCGACCCAGACGGACGGTGGCGGACGAAATGGGTCACCCTTTGGAGTTGCTCTAACTCGGTAAACTCGGACGAAGGAAGCTCGCGGTGTATTCCTGCAAGGACTCGAATTCCCATCCTACCCGGAAACAAGTACCCTTATACTGTATGTATACAAATTTGATCACCTATAGCTATATAGTATATCTAGCGCGACGGCTACATACTACTAGCTCATTACACGATCGAAGAACCGCAAGATCGATATCTCATCGATCGAGAATAACAGCTTATTATTAAGATGGACGCCACCGAGGAGGCCTGCGTGAGATACACTAATCTATACTGGCTAGATCTTGTGAGCTCCAAATCGGCGCGTGGCAACGAGGAGAGGATCTTCGAGCGTGGCCTGGTGGTCCCGCTTAAAGCGGCCGACGCCGACTCGTTCATGACGCTCGGCATCAACGGCGCACTGGTGAGCATGAAGGGCCGTGACATGACAATCGTCGACAGGAGCTGCACGTACGTCGGCCAGATGGTCGTGTCGGGGTCGGACGTCGGCGGCCAGATGGGCGTCGTCGTCGGCGTCTCCACGACGCTTGATCTCGTCCAGCTCAACGTCCACGGCGAAGCAACAAAGACCATCCGTGGCGTGCGGCCGTCTGGCCTCCGGCGCGTTAGGGCTCTCAGCCTCGGCGACTACGTCGTGTCCGGGCAGTGGCTGGGCCGGGTGGTCCAGGTGTTCCTGGACGTCGACGTGGTGTTCGACGACGGTGCCGTCTGCAAGGTCACCGATGCGGAACCCAAGAAGCTACGAGCGGCCAACACGGTGGCTACTTTCCGCCCGCAGATGAACTGCGCCTTCTACTCCGGTGAGCAAGTCACCGGTGACCGTGGCGACCCCTCGGCCGTCTTCAGAGAGTCGCAATGGCTAGATGGCAGCTGGAAGCCGGAGCACGAAGTGGGCTCGGTCTCCAGGGTGGAGATGGTCGGCGTCCTTGTCTACTGGGTCGCGTCGGCGCACGGCGGCACCGACGAGCAAGTCCTCGAGATGTCTGCTCCTTCGGCCTACCAAAATCCCAACGACCTGACTTTCTTCTGCTCCTCGTCCGATTGCACCTGGGGGCTGGGCGACCGCTGCTTTCTCATTACAAAAACCGATGACGATACTTCCGATCATCACCACCAGGACGAGTCATTGCATGCACTACCCACCATGACCGTCTCCAGCACTCATACCATCGTCGACGTGCTGTGGCAGGACGGCACACGGCAGCATAGGGCACCGTCGATCTCACTCAACCCCTCCGAGTGCACGAATGAGCACGAGTTTTTTCCTGGGCAGTACGTGGTTGACAACGCCCCTGTCGATGTCACATTTGCTGTAGTTGGAGATGACGACGTCGTGAGTGCCACAGACGATGCATCGACGCGGCGCGTCGGGGTCGTGAGGAGCCTGAATTCCAATGATCACACGGTGCAGGTGTCGTGGATCAAGGCTAACAATGAGGCCGGCAACCTAAGCTTGGAGGTCGAGTGCGATAGCACTACTGCAAGTGCATATGATCTGAGCAGGGATCCTGATCACTCCGTTTTCTATGGGGACATCGTCGTTCGTCTGCTATCAAGCGTCGCTGGAAGTAGACCAGCAGTGGTAGTGCAGCAACCACAGGCCCCCGCCGATCTTTCATGGGTTGGACAAGTTGTTAACCTCTGTGTCGACGGCCACGTCCAAGTCAAGTGGGGTGATGGCACCACGTCAATGGTATGCATGCATGGATCTTTTGCCACTAGCTACTCGATCGAATTAATATATTACCCTTTGTCGGAAAAATAATAATGTACAATGTCTCTCTTATCTCTATTTTCAGGTATTACCCCATGAGATCAGTGTTGTCAACAAGGATAACTACACTCAACTGCAGGCTGAGATGGACAACTGGGCGGAGGAGGACGCCATCGTCGATGATCCTCAAGAATTGGGTGCTGCCAACGTGGTATCTATCTACTCCTACCTAGCTAGCTAGAAACATTATCTCATGTATCTCGATGCAAACCCCGTTAGTTATGTGCGCAATATCATGCATTAACGTACGCGGTAATCATGTGTCGTATATCTTATACCCGATTACAGCACAATGATCCAACAGATACTACAAGTGTCGAAGGCGATGACGGTTCTGTGGATGAACTAGATGGCCATGCAGCCGTGATCATGCAGAATTTGGCGCAGGCATCTGCGGGTAGCCACGAAGACCCTAGCGTTGGTGGCGCTGCGACAGAGTACAACATTGCTGATCTCGCAGCAAGAAGTGATGCCAGTGTCGATGCTAGTAACAGCGACACTGTGGAGGATGTGGTGAAGGTCACAGATGCCACTGGTGATGACGATCATCGTCCATTTAACTTGCCACATTTCGATGTAGTGCAGAGCCCTCCGGACGATCACCATTACCTTGACACCACGGACCAGGTAGGTGCACTAAGAGAAGTCATCCGCCTTAATTTTGCGCCTTTTAGCTTTGATGTAGTAGTGCTCTTTCTTTTGTCAAATGAACTGCAGGGCAGCACCGGCAAAAAGAGATGGGTCAAGACGGTGCAAAAAGAGTGGAAAATATTGGAGAATAGCTTACCAGGTACTATCTTGCAACGTGCATAAGGCCATAACTGTACGGTGTATCTACATTTAATTCCAACGGGATTTGGCTAAGTGATTCTAAAAATGGCAACTTTAAATTTTTTTTCTCACCTACTTGTACCTTTTCTAGAGAAAAACGCAGGTCAATCGGCTGAAGTTGCACTAAATTCACTTCTTAGAAATATACTTGGATAAGAAAATCTCGGTCAGACTTAGTATTTGAAAATCCCATAAGCATATTTATGCCTCAATATATATGTTTCAATCTGACCCATGGTTACCCATAAAGTGTTTGAAAATAGAAGGAATAGAAGAGTGTTTGAAAATTAAACCCATTAAGAGGCGATAGAATGGTGGCCAACCAGCTATGCCATGTGACCCACTCAAAAACAAAAAAGCTATGCCATGTGACGCATGCTGGTTGATCACGGTGAGAAAGTATTTTTTTTAAAAAAATAAAAGGTAGGGAGATATTTTTTTAGAGATGTTTTCTAGGTTTTTTCGTTTTTCTTTTAAGATGGTTGTGATGTCTACAAGAATTTTTTTAAATTTTCTAACATGATGGTGAGGTGCGCATAGCTTTCTTTCAAGCGGCCCGCAATGACGGACCCCAACCACTAGTTAAACCCATTAAGCGTCGCCTGAAGGGCGGCCAACCAGCTATGCCAGGTGACGTATGCTGGTTGGCCACGGTGAAAAAGCTTTTGAGATATTATTTTTAGATGAAGGTGAGGAATTTTTTTTCTTTTTAGATGGAGTTGATGACCGCATACATTTTTTTAAATGGAGGGCTATGCAAAGTAGCACTCACTGGTAGGCTGCATTGGTGAGTTTTTCTTTTCTTTTTCACTTCTTTTTCTAGATGAAGGTGAGAATTTTTTTTAAAATGTTTTTCTAGATGAAAGCGAGGACTTTATGTTTTTTTAAATAAAACATGCGCACAACTTTCTCTCAAGCGGCGCCACAAGGTGACGCCCCAACCACTAGTAAACGACAAACCGTCGGTTGCTCCGATGAAGTGTGATTGCCTACCAATGGTTCAAAGCGGGAGCAAATTAAGTGTTTGGAGTCGTTTTTCATTTAGGTCGTGGTCGTGGTCACCGTACAAGGAACAGAAAAGTGTTTGAAAATAAGTGACAAATGGTCCATATTCTGGTTGTTCAGACCAAGTGTGATGCCTACCAATGGTTCAAAGCCGGAGCAAAGTGTTTGGAATCGTTGTTCACTAAGGTCACGATCTTGTTTGTCTAGGTTAGTTTTTGGGTCGTCGTTAGAACATGTTTGTTGCTAATCTTTGTTAGTCATTATTCTTTGTTTTGTATCTTGATCTTTGTAAGTATATAAGACTTTGTATGACCTCTTCTCTTTCTATAAGATCACATGCAGTCCTTATGCATGGTTTGAAAAATAATAAATGGCAGATGGCGATGAACGAGATTGACATCGAAATTTGCATATGCAGATGGTATCTACGTTCGGGCATTCGAGGGACGCATGGACCTACTCCGGGTGGTAATGGTGGGTGCGAGCGGGACACCGTACCAGGACGGGCTCTTCTTCTTCGACATGCAGCTGCCGCCGTCCTACCCGACCGTGCCGCCGCAGGTCTACTACCACTCGTTCGGCCTACACCTCAATCCAAACCTCTATCCCAGCGGTACGGTGTGCCTCAGCCTGCTCAACACCTTCGACGGAGAGGGCACGGAGGTCTGGTCGCCGGGGACGTCAAGCCTGCTCCAGGTCGTCGTCTCCCTTCAAGCGCTTGTCCTCAACGACCAACCCTACTATAACGAGGCCAGCCTTGAGGCGCTCATCGATACGCCGGAGGGCCACCGCAACGCGTTGCCCTACTGCGAGAACGCCTTCCTGCTCAGCTCGCGGACCATGCTACACCTGGTGCGCCGACCGCCCCAGGGGTTCGAGGGGTTCGTGAAGGACCACTTCCGCCGGCGGGGGAGGTACGTGCTCAGGATGTGTGAGGCATACCTGAAAGGATGTGTGCCTGTTGAAGAGGGGGGCATGGAACTACCCTGCTCGGCCGGCTTCAACATCGCGCTTGCCAACGTGGTGCCAAGGCTCATGGCTGCCTTCACAAAGGTTGGCGACGAAGGGTCTGACCTCTCCAGCACAACCACCCAATAGATTGATTTTCATACAATACAATTAACTCATCTGGTGGCAGCGGCAGTACTATGTAACCTGAGCGTACTGTGTGTTTTAGTTCATTACTGTACTTATTTGTAGGGTTTTTTTTTGCGAGTGAGGATTTATTCTATTCATTACTTCTTGTTTGCATTCTCAAGAAAAATGCACACTGTGGGGGTGCAACCACTGCACTGATCAGTGGTTACCACCACCCGATATATATATTCTCGTGTGGTCTTCATTCTGAACCGAAACCTATACTCAATTACTGATATATGATCGGAGGGAGTAATACAAATTCAAAGTTTCCGAAATTTTTGAAACAATTTCTGGTATGATGTGCCCAGTATATCTGCAGTTTCATTAATAAATATTTTGACTTGATTACGGTAGTACGTATGCACATGGCGTTCCGGCACGGAGATGGCAAGCATGCAGTGGCGTTCGAGATGACGGGACGAGTCCCACCAAACCAGGCAAGAGGGGGACGGGGAGCATGTTGGTGGGCCCTCGTTCGTGCGGCTACGCTTTTGGCGAGTCCATGTGGATAAACTTCGTCGAAGTGTCGGGTGACTGATGACCGGGGTCACGTGTTTCTGGCCTGCGTGTCAGTGTCTCCTTGTGCGTTGTGCATCGTCGTACCGTCATGCTACGGCGGTGCCTTGTGCGTTTGATTTTGACGAGTAGAAAAAAGCTGGTCCACATTCCTTATTTCAACATATGACATCAGTGCCACACAATCACAACACGTTCGAATGTGTCAATTCTAATGCATCTCTCTCGGCATAATATCAGAAATTTGCTTTCTTTGCCCCTGCGAGATTTTACAGTCACATGCATGTATGGTTCTAGATGGTTTATTTGGTCTCGGATATGGTTTTGTTGAGTTGTCATTTTCTATCTGGATCTGCAGCAATACGAAATATAGACACATAATTTTTCCAGGCACATACTCCAGGATGCCATCCAAACTAGTCCTATATGCATATTACGTGTCTATCTATTTAGATACTAGTATGTGATCAATATTGTCCATGTGATGTTCTTGATTTATTCCTGTAGTAAATTAATTGGAAATTTGCTAATATACTCGACAAGAATAATTTTTATTTTGTACGTGCTATTCATTGTTTATGTGTAACGATCGACGTGTACATGTATGCATGGACTTGTGGTTCAAAAGTGGGAATTATGGTTACACATGGGGACATTTGAGAGGCGAACAGGCAATGTCTGTGGACGCGTCCGCGGATTGTTTATGGGTGCAGAATCGGCCAGTCCAGATGCTCTGATGCTAGGGTTTGGATATGCTTGTGCAGCACATACTTCACGTGTACCGAAATTGTGAAGGCCTCTGCCACGGTTGAGAAGGCAGCTCACAAATCACAATTACCCTTTGGTCAGTTCAGGCGGACGGCAATGCTTCCGCTGCTCCTAACGCTGGGTGTAGGCGCGCGCTAGGCTAGGTAGGAGCTGCGCTGCGATCCTGAGGGCATAGCGGCGGAATTCCCACAGCGGCGTGGGTGGCAGGCCAGCTTTGGGTTGGGTTGGGAAGGAGTCAAACGCGATCTGCTATACGCCGCAGGCAAAGAGGGTTGCGACGAGCCGACGACGGAAGGAAGCATGTTTGACAAAATTGATGTGTGGGTCAGAGTGACGGATCTGCCACCGGATAGGAGAACGGAAGCGTTTGGAAGGGCCCTTGGTAATTGGCTGGGAGAAATTGTGAGAGTTGATGTGTACAAAGAAGGTTTTGCTAGAGGACAACATCTGCGGGTTAGAGCAAAAATCCCAGTGAGGGAACCTTTGGTGAGAGGGTTCTATTTGAGGAAGAAGAAAGAGGATGAGGAGAAGACCTGGTTCGATTTCCACTATGAAAAAGTACCACACTTTTGCTTTGCATGTGGTAGGTTGGTGCATAACAATGGTGTATGCGAACCACCGGTTGACTCGGAGCAGCAATGGGGAGGGTGGCTGAGAGCATCACCAGGCAGGAACACGGGAGGAAAAGAAGGGTCAATGGGTGCGGCTGGTAGCAGTAACAACAACATGAGCAGCGCCCACACTGGTGAGGCGTATGCACGTTGCTATGATCACCCGAGAATGAGGGATATGCCAACCAAGCGAAACATAAACTCTGAGTTCTCTCGTACGTCTGAATCTCGCACTGGCGGGGTCGGCCAAAGTTTCAGAGATGAAGTAAACAGCCCGAAGAAGGACTGTGCAAAGAAAGAGGACACAAAGGAGCATGATCTTCGAGATGGACTGGAGGAGCGTCGTGAACATAACCTACGACACAAGCTGATGACGGAGGGTTAACAACGGAGGGAAGAAGAACAAAGGGAAGTGGATAGAGAAAGGAAAGGAAAAGACAAGGTTGATTATCACACGGGTGTGCATGGGGGCGGTGCGGGTCGGGTCTATCCACTGGGAAGACCCGATATGCATGGAACCCGGGAGAGGAGGCATGGCTACTACGTACGTAGGCAGAGGGAGGAGTGGAGGGAAAGGGGCCGATCTGACTACTATGATAGGAAGGACTATGATAGCAGGAAGAGACGCCCGACCCAAGTGTGGATACCCAAGGGTGATCATGACAAGCAGGAAGGTGGTGAGGGTTTTTTCAGAGATACGAGGCAAAAAACTAACTCTGTGTTCGATCGCATTTCAGAGAACAAAGTTTCATCGGCGGACCCTGAGGCCCAGGGCCGCCGGGACCAATGAACCTCTTGGCCTGGAACTGTCGAGGCTTGGGGTTGGACTCGACAGTTGGTGAACTCCGTGACCTGATTAGGTCCTACAACCCAGTGGTGGTATTTCTATGTGAAACGAAGAAGAGGGCAATAGCTATGGAGAAGATCAAATGGAGTCTAGGCTTCAGGAATGGTGTGGCGGTTGACTACGAGGGCCAGAGTGGAGGATTGGCTTTATGGTGGCGTGATAACGTTAATGTCATTGTCCGGCCATGGAGCCAATATTTCATAGATGCTAAAGTGGTGTGGGAGGGGAAGGTCTGTAGATTCACCGGTTTCTACAGAGAGCCATGCAGAGAGCAGCGGAAGAAATCATGGGATGCTTTGCGTTATCATCATGCACATGATACATTACCATGGATTTGCATGGGGGATTATAGTGAAGCAATGTTCTAGTCCGATCAGAAAGGAGGGAATCCAAGGAGTTTTCTACAGATGGAAGATTTCCGGGACTGCTTGGCTGACTGCGGCCTTGCGGACTTGGGTTACTCGGGGTACCAATACACATGGGACAATAGGAGAGAGGCGAAGGAGAATATCCAGGTCAGATTGGACCTGGCTGCATGCAACGATGGTTTTCTGGAAATTTTCCCGGAGACAGTAGTGGAAAATATCATGACAGAAGAGTCTGACCATCAACCGCTACTGGTACGGGAATTGGAGACGGCTCCATGCTCGGATCAACGTGGAGAGAGACCGTTACGTTTTGAGGAGGCTTGGACGAGGCATGACAAGTATGATGACATGGTTCGAGAGGCGTGTGAAGCGTCGAGCGTGGGTGATAGCACCCTGGCTGGAATTTGCCAACGTGTGGGTGCCACGACCAGTAGCATGAGGAGATGGGCGAGGGAAGTGTTCGGTTCCATCAGGAGGCAGATAGTGAAGCTTAAAACATAGTTGAAGGAGGCAAAGGAACGAGCAGTCCATATTGGTTATCGGCAGGAAATAAGGGAGATCGAAGAACAACTGCGAGAAATTTATGAAAGAGAAGAAGTGTTCGATAGACAGAGGTCCAGAGTTGATTGGCTGCAAGCAGGAGATCAAAACACCAAATATTTCCAACAAAGAGCTTCACATCGCAAGAGAAAGAACACGGTTAGAGCACTTTGATGCCAGGACGGGACTCGATGCCTTGTGAATGAGGAGATGAGGGAGATGGCTGCAAGCTTTTATGAAAACCGGTTTACCTCGGACCGGGTCAGCGGGTGCACAAGAGCTACTCCAACGTATCGAGGCTTCACTGACAGAGAATATGAACACAAAACTTACTGCCGCGATAACAGATGAGGAGATCGAAGTTGCTTTGTTCCCAATGGGGCCGACAAAAGCGCCGGGGCCAGATGGACTTCTTGCACTGTTCTACTAAAGGCACTGGCCTTTGTTAAGAACAGATATATGTAAGGCTGTTCGGAGCTTTCTTATGGGGGATGTGACACCGGCAAGTTTCAATGACACAATCCTGGTTATGATCCCAAAGGTCAACTCACCAAAGCTTCTAACGCAGTTTCATCCTATTATTCTCTGTAACGTACTTTACAAGATAGCAACAAAGGTGATGGCCAACAGACTCAAACTAATCTTGCCGGTTCTTATCTCGGAGGAGCAAAGTGCGTTTGTACCTGGTAGACTGATCACGGACAATGTCCTTGTGGCATATGAGTGCGTTCATGCCATTCGCACTAGGAAGAGGAGGAAGGCGTTCTGTGCGGTCAAGCTGGATATGATGAAGGCATACGATAGAGTGGAGTGGATATTTCTGGAGCAAATGCTAGCTAAATATGGTTTTGCCACGGAGTGGATTGCAATGATCATGAGATGCATGACTTCGGCGACGTTCTCAGTTAATTTGAATGGAGCTTTGTCCAGGAGATTTGTCCCTTCTCGGGGCCTTAGACAAGGGGATCCCCTCTCCCCTTACCTCATTCTTTTCTGCGTTGAGGGCTTTTCAGCATTGCTTAAGCAAGCCCAACAGGAAGGCAACCTCAAAGGTGTGGCATTTGGGAGCACGGGCCTCCAGGTGACTCATCTTCTTTCGCTGATGATAGTGTTGTGTTCCTGGAGGGTACAAGGCAAAATATGGAGGCACTAAAGATTATACTCCAGAGATACGAGGCGGCCTCGGGGCAGCGGGTAAATCTTCAGAAGTCTGCGATTTTCTTCGAGAAAGGTTGTCAAGAAGAAACAAAGGCTGAGCTAAAGCAGTACATTGGGATAGAGGAGGAGGCTCTAAATGAGAAATACCTT